AAGTGAAGAAAAAGAAGACGAAAGGCCTTTAAATAGATTTTACAGCAGTAAAACGTGGCCCACCGGGCCCGTTTTAACACGGCATGAGAGCGCAACGGTTCATTTACTGACATAGCTAAAATGATGGACGGCACAAATCCACACAACGGTACAGTTCAACGGGTAGATTTTAGACTTATACATCCAGCACCACGGTGGAGTTATCATATTGCTACAGAAAGAACTCATCAACCATGAAGCAACGAAGAGTTACCTCACAAGGAACATAAGAACTCGGTTCTTATAAAAACGACTCGGGGATCTCATAAACAACTAGGACTTCAGCAGAAAAAAGAATGACAACTTAGAAGACAAGATTCTTTCCATTACAAATGGTTTCAAAAAAATAGAAGATTACACATCTTACAAGACCCAACGAACTCGGTACTACGACAAGCAAGGTAGCAAAGACGAACCCGGACACAGCTAGGCTCTACAACGACTACGTGTTCCAAAGTGCTACTCGGTAGAACAAACCGCACTCAACTACACTGTTTTCTTCAAAGGACGAACACAGTGCATCCAAGGCGGAAATCAGCAACACGGCTGGACAACATAGACCAGGGGAAGCCGGCAGGCATCTGTCTACCCAAGTCTGATGTGATACCGGATATGGTGTTGATCTCGCACTGCACAGTCTCGGGACAAAGTGGCGAAGATCAACCTGTAATCGGCTGGATGAAGGAACGCATCCCACATCACAAGACTTCCTCCAACTACCGCCACGTACTTCCAAGTACAATACCGCTGCGGGATTAGTCTACCTCTAATCCCTATCACAAGACTCCCTCCAGCTATGACAAGATGTACAAGAACTACAGAATACGCCCGGGGGCTGCTCTACTTCACAAACTATCATATTCATGGCTACGGAGATTTCAGACCACGCAACAAAATACTCGATGAATCAAAACAGCACACCAGGAGGGTATTTATAGATCAAAGAAGTGGTGCACATGGACCGGGAGCATCAACAGAGCAAACCTAACAAAGGACACAGTGAAAAGACAGAATTCAATGAAAGAAGACTCAGGCGTGAAGGAGCAGTACTCAAGAACGAGCATATTCAGAAGAATATACCAACACTGTACAACTCGTGAACCAACAACATTTACTCTCAACCACCATTATACAACTACATCTAACAATAGCAAACTACCAGAGAACATGCCAAGATCCTGTATCCGAGTTCTTTTCGAATAAAAGAACCCGGGTATATGCTCAGGGGCTGCAATAGGAAAGGCTTTCAATCCTTTGAACAACTCATATTCAACACGGGGCTGCAACAGAAGAGGTTCTCAGTAACTTGAATAACTCAGAATCAAGACCCTCCAACTCTTTGTTCCAAATAGCAAGAGGCTCGGGGGCTACACTCAGTGAGTGCACTTTTTCTTCAAAAAAGCACACATCACTCAGAAGACTTCCTCAAGACAGCAGTTTTCAAACAACATAAGATTCAAGACCCTCCAACTTTTTGTTCCAAATAACAAGAGGCTCGGGGGCTACACTCAGTGAGTGCACTTTTTTCTCCAAAAAAGCGCACATCACCAAGAAGACTTCTTCAAGATAGATCACTTTAAGACCTCACGACAAAAAGAACCCGGACCTAGCTATATCCGAGCTCTTTTTGATAAACAACCCGGGTATATGCTCAGGAACCCTTCAACGAAGAATCAGAGTGAATTCAAAAGAAGACCCTCCAACTCCTTGTGCCAAAAAGCAAGAGGCTCGGGGGCTACACCCAAATGGGAGTACTTTTTTTCTTCAAAAAGGTACACATCACGCCAAGATCTCACGAAGCGCAACACGGTTTCGCTCAAGAAAGCACCCAGACGATGCTTCTTCCTGCTCGGCAAGACCTAAAGGAACAAGATGAGGCTTCCAGAGCTCAACCATGAAGTGCTCGGGGGCTTGTCGGTGCGGGACCCATGGGATACCCCACAAGGAAGGGAGAAGATCTAGTCTAACTAGGATTCTTCTCATGTAATCTTAGTAGTAGTAGTAGTATTCTGTAATCCTACTAGGAACTCTCATTATAAACCGACTAGGATTCTAACCTCCTGACTATATAAAGGAGGGCAGGGTTCCTAGAGACGGGAGGATCATGACTTTTACGACTGTAACAACACAACTCTAGACAATCAATCCAACGCAAGGGCTAACGCCGACTGGACGTAGGGCTATTACTCAATCAGCGATCGAGGGTCTGAACCAGGATAAATCGACTGTCTCTTGCATCCACCATCGAGTTCCGCATACGCTGAAGCCCGAACATACTGTCCCGGGTACCCCCGTGGCAGGCTATCTGTGGTCAAACATCGACAATATTTAGGGGGAGTTTACTTATTAGCTTATCTATTACATTTGGAGTTTTATGTGTGATACATTATGCATTCATGTTTACTGTTATGCATTGAACTACATAAGTGTGATCGTAATCGTGATATTAATGTGATCGTGATATTTATGTGATATGTGACATGTGTACTCTCTACTTTGAATTATTTATATGTCATATCACTTGTGCTATGCTCATTTGCTTTTGCTTCCGCATTTTACTCCAATGCAAATGAGCTTTATTTATTGTACTCATGCTTATTTCATATCTTTTGAGTACATTATGTTGCCTTGGGTCATATATGCTTGCCTAACTCTTTTGTTCTTATTGACAAAAGCTTATATGAACCAAGCATGTTAAAAACCTCATCTCTTTCACATACTCGAGGTGGTATTGTCATCAATCACCAAAACGGGGCAGATTGAAAGCATCTAGGCCCCTAGTTGGGTTTCGGTGATTAATAACAATACATGATTACTATGACTAATGTGTGTTTTGTAGAGGCAATTAAGTTAGGTCATGGTAATAGAGATTGATTGGGCTATCATGGTGGTCATGCCCCTACGATGGAAATCATTTCGGATTTCAAAGGATGGACGACAAGGTTAAGGATGAACTAGTTCTAAGTGTCGTTTAGTGTTGAAGAGACACTTAGAGTAGTTTAGGACTTTGTTTTTCCTTTGGCCGTACTATTAAGGGGGTATGGATGGGTAGCTTGACCTAGGTGAGTCTAGTGAGTTAGGTGTGGTGCACACTTGCTAAAACTAGCACTAGGTAGCTCCTAAAAAGCCCTTAGATCCATTGGAGCAAACTTCATTCACGTATGATTGAGAGTTGGAAGTGAATGGAGGGTCAAATGCTGACCGGACGCTGGTTCCTGTGTGATCGGACACTGGCGCAGAGTCCGATCAGTTCATTTGATCAAGGTGAAATCGTCTGGTGCGACCGGACGCTGAGAGGTGAGCGACCAGACGCTGGGTGCCAGCGTCTAGTCGACTCCAGTAAGGTTCCAGAGATGGAAAATCATGACCGGTGCTGACCGGACGCTGTCCTGCGTCCGGTCACTACTTTAACACTGGAGGTCGGGGTGAACTGACCGGAGCGTCCGGTCAACATGACCGGAGCGTCCGGTTACCCCGTAGAGGCACATAACGGTTCATTTTTCAACCAAGGTTATAAATACTTCATTCGTGTGAGGGGGTACTTTTGCTCATTCCAACAGCTGAGAAACGGCTTTGAGAGTGCCTAGAAGAGCAAGGTCCTAGTGAGGTGATTGAGATTTGAGAATCCCAAAGAGAGCCCTCATTAGTGAGATCAAGAGTAGCAAAGTGTACATCCACCCTTCTCATTAGGCTTGTCGTGATCAAGTGAGAGTTCGTGCTTGTTACTCTTGGTGATCGCTATCACCTAGATGGCTTGGTGGTGATTGGGAGCTTGGTGATCATCCGGCGGAGCTTGTGGATGACCCAACTCAAGTTGTGAGCGGTTGTGGGTGATTCACCACGACGGAGTGTCAAAGAATCAACCCATAGAGAGCACTTGATCCTTGCGCGGATCAAGGGGGAGCTACACCCTTGCGCGGGTGCTCCAACGAGGACTAGTGGGGAGTGGCGACTCTCTAATACCTCGGCAAAACATCACCGCATTCCTCCATTCTCTTTTTACTTTGAGCAATTACTTTGAGTAATTCAATTCTTGTCATTTACATTCATAGAATTACCATGCTAGAGTAGGATTGGAACATAGGTTGCTAAACTTTTGTGCGATAGATCAATAGAAACACTTTCTAGGCACAAGGGGTTAATTGAGCTAACCATAGGGTTTAATTATTGCAAAGAAATTTAGAATTAGCCCAATTCACCTCCCCTCTTGGGCATCTTGATCCTTTCAAAGGCCCCTCCTTTTAGAAATAGAAAAGGGACATTGTCCCAGAATGTTATGTTCGCTTGTGACTTTGATCTCAAATTCACTTCATCTCTTGTGGGTGGGAAGGATCTGCGTCTGATGCAGGAGTCCTATGTTCTGCTCTTACGAAGGGGTTTCATGTACCGCCAGGGAAATTCTACCTTGTAGATGACGAATATGCTAACACTCCATCATTCATAGCACCGTACCGAGGAGTTAGGTACCACCTTGGCGAGTTTAGAAGGCGTGGATCATCGCAGAGAAATGAGTATGCAAACTACAAGGAGTTGTTTAATAATCGGCATGCACTTTGGAATCACATTGAAAGGGCATTTGGGGTGTTGAAAAAATGGTTTCCAATTCTGAAAGTGTGAACACACTATCCAATTGAGACTCAGATCAAGATTCCTGCAGCAGCAGCAGCGGTATTTCACAATATAATTAGAGCGCACAATGGGCAAGATAATTGGCTAGATCACCAACCACAATATATCAATCCAACCACTTTTGTTGATATGCCAGAGGGGGATAACAGTTATCCAAGTGAGATAGAATCGAGTGATGGCAACACATTATGAGATCAAATCGTGCAAGCGATGTGGGCTGCCTATAATAATTAGATGGTAATTTGGAGCATTGTTCATCATTTTTAGCATTTTACCTTACATTTATATTTCTAGAATTTTAGCTTATATTTATCTTTCACCATTTTTCAGCAATGTCAACGTCCCAGGGTACAAGGGTTGCATGGAGCTACATGTATGAGAAAGGGCTGGTGGATGTAATGAAAGAGCATGTCAATATCCCAATGTACAGGGCACAAAATGGCTGGACAGCAGATGATTGGAGAAATATCGCTAAACGGTTCAATGAAACCTTTCCTTTAGCTCATTTTTCAAAACAACAAATGCAAGAGAAGGAGAATGAGTTGAAAGGAAACTATAGGACAGATAGAGATGCCAGAAAAGAGAGTGGTGTTGGTTGGAATGAGACATTAAGCATGATAATTGCTGAACCAAAGAAATGGGAAGACCTATTTGAGGTTAGTCACTTTCTGTCAATTATATAGTACTGTGTTTTCACTATTTTAAGAAGCTAACCAAAATGTTGCTTTGTTGCATTTAATAGAAGAATCCCAAAGTCAGTAAGTTCCAAAAGAAGCCACTTCCTCTTTATGAACACCTGGCATCATTGTATGCAGGTAATTTTCCTTTGTTTGCTCATGAATACAGTTTTTGTGGTGCTGTATTCATGAGCTAGCTGTATCGTAAATCTGAATTTTTGTACAAGTGTGCTCTTTATTTTATTCAGCTCATCTATGCTACAGTAAGAGTATTCTGAGCTGTCATGAATTTTTGTACAAGTGTGCTCTTTATTTTATTCAGCTCATGAGTCTAAAAGAACAACTATGTTTATTTGGTGGTCTGAGTTCAGGGAACTACAATTTTGTCTATCATTATGGCCTTACCATTTGTTTGCTCTGTTTCTTAAATGAACATGTGCCTATGGTGCTGAATAACTTTGAATAATACCTAAGAGTGTATCTCTGATGTGTATTAATAGGAAATATAGCCACTGGAGATTTGAATTTTACATCAACCGAGCCACCTAACATGACGGCACGACCTCCAATTGAAAGAAGTTACTTTGAGCAAAGTACAGAGAACACGGTTACTAGCTCTGATTCTGTTGGCATCAATTTTGGTACAAATCATTTTTCTCAAATTGAGGGCCCAGAAGTGCAATCTGCACCACCCTATCTCAATCTAGAGGAGAAAGAAAGTGCTAGTGGAAAAAACGCAAGCAAAGTCAAATGGCAGCTAAACTCGGTGAATTCATAGACTTGAGAAAGATCCAGATGGAGAAAAATCAGGAAAAACTAGATGAGAAGAAGAAAAAAGACTATTCTGTAGAAAAGTTCATTGCTGTTGTGGATAGCATAGAAGACCTAACTATTGAGCAGAAGGCGGATGCTAATGAGCTCTTTCAATCTGAGATGAATCGACAGATATTTATGATGACCAAAAATCCAGCTATGCGACTAGTTTGACTAAAAAAAAAAAATTCACAGGTATGTTTGCTTGTCTTAGTTTTCTCCTCTTCTTCTAGCATTAGAGACTGCTGTGGTGTTCATCTGATGTTGTGGATATTTATGATGATCTGAATGTTTATCTGAATAGATGCCTCTAATTTGATCATTGGAGACTGCTGTAGTGTTAATTTACTGTAGTGTTAGAACATGTGTGAATGTTTATCTACTGAATGAATGAATGTTTATCTACTGTAGTGTTCATCTGCTGAATGACATACTGAACCTGTATGAATGTTTATCTGAACATGACCTGGAGTGTTAGAGTATGGCAAGAGTATATGGAAACGCAGTGGTAAATAAATTCAGAGTTCAGATAAGTTGCACTATGTGAAAAAGAAATCCCAAGTACTTCTTTTCTTCAGTCGTCCTGCTTTATTGTTTTTTTTTCTCTGTTCATCTCATTGCTAAGTTACTAATTCCACTAATTCCACTGATGTTACATGTTTTTTTTGCTGCAGAATTAGACTTGAAATGTCTACCTGCCTCGTCTTGTGTGTGTCATCTCTTTGCTGCTAGCACTGGACACAAAGGAGTAGAGGGTAGCTAGCTAAGATTGAATTTTTAATTTGTGTTCGTGTTCCATGATGAATAAAACTGTATTATTTTGACTTTGGAGCTGTACTTTGACAATAGGTGCAGATTCAAGCTTCTTTGAGAACTATATCTTGCTTTGTGCTAAATAACCTATGCAATTATGCTGTAATTTTGGAGCCGTAATCTCTATTGGAGCTGTAATTTTAGAGCCGTAATCTCTATTGGAACTGTATTATTACCGCTTGAATTTTGGTCTACATTTGAGCTATACTTGTTCACAAATCAATCATGATTTGTATTATTTATGTAGATCTCTTATTTTCCATGTTATCTGACTTTCCTTGATTTTATTTTTAAAAAATTAATGATTTTTAGGGTTTTTCTGATTTGATGATTACTACTGTTGTCTATTATTTTCCTGATTTGTTGTTGATTTTTTTCTGAGTTTTTATCTGATTCCAACAATTCTTGAAGCACCAGCCTGCACCAATAGCCTCAGGTGCACAGCACCAGGCAGCAAAGGCGGATGGGGGAGTGAAGCAGGCAGCAGAGGCAGAGGGGGAGTGAAGCCATGGGAGGGAAAACCAAATGGAAAAGGGGTTAGGGGAGGGAAACAACAGGGTTTGACAAGTCCAGTGAAATCCCCCTCGGGGCCTCCTTTCCCTGGGCGTGGCTTCCCTCTGCATCCAAAGAGGCCTCATGGTCTCTCTTTCGTACTACCATCGACGTGCTTTCGTATGACACTAGAAAGTAAGCGCGGCTTTGCCGCGCTACACGTTTTAGCAAGACCAGTGAACTTATATGTTTTAAAAAAATAGGGTTAGTGAGCCTTTAATTGTGTGTATGGGCCCATGCACCACGGCGTGAGGGGCTCCAAATTATTTTTTAATCTCTTTAACGTGTAGCCTACTGCAGGTGTATCCGTGTATGCGTATATAGAGTACAGAGATAGCTTCACTGGCTTCTCCGCATTGGATTGTCTAGTCTCAGCCCATTGTTTTTATTTACCATTTCTATCTCCGTCCTGTCAACATCGGTTTGCCTTCGTCTCTCTCCACCAAGGCACTTCTCTCTGTCTCTGCTTTCTCCGATATCGATTCTTGGCAACTGGGAGAGGGGAGCTTGCACGGAGCAGCGCTAGCGCGGGGACCGGCGCGAGCTCGGCTGAGCTCCTCACGGTGGCGCTATCCTGTGCGCTGCCTACTGGTGTGGGGGACCCTGACCACAAGAGGGTCGTGAGTCGTGAGGGTGCGGATCCGCAGTTCGCTAGAGCAGATTGCATGCAGATCCAAGGCGACGGCCTAATTGGTACGTACCAGTCTTCAAGCTTAATCTTTGTACAAAGAAATTGAAAGGGGAAGTAGTAGCTAATAAAGCTATCTTTCCACTGTTAGACAGTAGGAGCACCCACAGCTTTATGAACGCCGTGGTGATTGATGGGATTAAGTAGAAATTGGTTAAAACTAATCCAATGGTTGTGAGTGTAGAAAATGGTAGGAAAGTTGATCTATGATTATTGGAGTTAGCGATGTTGATGACACTTTGAACAGCGCATTATATACTGCTCTGGTTAAGCATCAATCCTATAGATGGTAATATTACGTAGGTTTTTTTTTGCCATGGTTCCTTTTTTGTCTTATATAAATAACACGTTCTTACGGTATAGTAAGGTAGGCAAAGTGCTTCGACATAATAATTTACATAAAAATAGTATTAGATATAAGTGGGATGGTAGCCAAAGTGCTTCGAGAGCTCTATTTGTTTGTGTTAGGTGCATAATAATTTACATCAAAATATTGAGCACGACGGGCCGAGAATCTTCGCGAGTTACCGGATGGACCGCAATCGGACGGACAGTATTGCTTCTTCACCAGATCAGACGGCCAGAGCGTTAACGGGCGACGTGGCTCTATCCGTTAGCCCGCTTTTCGAAGCAGGATTCTTATATAGAGATTATAGACTATGTCTTTTAAAGCAAAACAGCAAGGATTGTTTGCTTGCATCTAATTGAGCTGTAACTCAAAAGCTTCATCTTCAGTTTGCGAGGAGAATCTCTTCATAAAAGGTTCCTGAAATCAGAAGAGAAGAAACAATAATATTATCTGGTGCTAAATTTTTTGAGTAAAATCCATAAAAAGAAATCATTTGAATATATAGCAGGTGAACTACTAAAGATAGGAAGATTCTGAGTTTTAGCTTAAACAGCAAGGTGGCAATTTGAAATACAAGCGAAAACAACATTCTTTTTTCAATAAAATAGATATTATATTTACCTGAGTAATTCCCTTTGCTTCACTCCTTCTTCTTCTTTGATTTTTTATGGTGATATATATCTGAGTAGATCTCCGCTGCTTTCTGTTGAGTATAAAAAAAATATGTTGAAGTCCGTAAGATGGTATTTTTGAGAATCAGAAATATGTTCTATACCTGGTAAGATGCTATTTTTGAGAATCAGAAATATGTTCTATACCTGGTTATTTTCATCGATTTCTTCGAATTTCTTCTTGTCTGAGTTATCATCTTGTTGCCAAATCCTGAAAGTTTCATACAAGAGCTTTATTAAATGCTAGTTTTGGAAATAAACTACTCTTTGACATACCCAGGTGGTTCGATATCCATGTCTTGTATCCCACTGGAAACCTGTGTTTGAGATGAAGTTGCCTAAAAATGTAAATAAGTGAGCTAAATGTTTGGTTAAGGTAAAAGAAATATTATATAAGGGAATCAGATTATGTGGTATGTATACCTCGGTTTTCAATTTCTTGGATGCTATGGTTATTAAAGGCGGTAGATCTGTATCTGCTGCAATAGAGGATGAACTTGATTGTGCCAATGCCATTGCAGGACCTCTTATAGGTGTTACAATCGATTGTTTGCCATGGTTTTTCTTGATCATGATTACTTCAAAAGAAGGATCAACATTGTCAGCACTTTTGTTCGCTAAAATTCTGACCACGAATGTGAGCTTGAAGCCAATCAAAGCTGATATATCAGATGGAATCTGGCGTTGTTCATATTGCTTTCTAAGTACTTCTGCAGATTTTCCAATGAGCTCTGATCCTTTCTTTTCAAAAAGCACAAATTCAAGGCTATATGTCTCATCTGTTCCAATGAATGCTATTTTATACCTATAACAATATTGGTGGAAGCAGTGTAAAAATTGAGTACAGAAATCTCTATGTTAATGTGATATTATTACTTGCTGGAACCCAATAGAAAACAATATTTTATGTTGTTATTTCTGTAGAATATGTCAAAAGGAAGGAATAATAGTAATTAACAATTATTTTTTATCATTAGTTTCAATAGCATTTATAAAGATCGTATGGAGCTTACTTCCACTGGAACTGTGAGCACGGACATCCGTCCTTTGAGCATTGGTATTTATTGGTCCTTGGATTTATGTAGATCCTAGAGTTGCAGACAGTGCAGGCGCGATAACACCATGGTTGATCATCTTTTATGCCAATAATTGTTACAGTGCACTGATACTTTTGTCCCTGTATTTCAATTTAAGATGTATTTAGTCTATTTGTATGTTATAGAGTGTAAACTATTTTGTAACTCTTGCAATGTACGGAACCTTTTGAACAAATGGATCTATTTCTTTGAGCTGTATTAGAGACTTTTCCTCGAGATTTTGCATTGCATCATCTTCATTCTGCAGGTACAGGCGTTGGATAGAAACAGGGTTGCCTATTAAACTTCAAAAAGGGAGTAAGGTTAGTAACTTTAAGTTAGGAAAATGAATTTAAAAATAGGGTTCCTGTACGGATTTTATTTTGGTATTACCTCTTCTGAAAGCTTTTGATCTCTGGAATATCATTTTCATTGATGTACCACCTACATGCCGCTGTTCCACTCAAGAATGTATATTTTTGTCCATATGTCTTCATGAGTGTTCCTACAAATATATAGCTATAACATGATGTTTCTGTCCAACATCTAGAACTGTCGCACCATCAAATTCTAAGGCTCTTTTTCCAGATAAGGATAAATCAATTGTATTTCCCCTTGAAACAAATACATGATAAGGATTGGTAAGCAGGATTAAGCTGGAGTACTCAATCAAATATACATATTTACCATTGGTAATGGATATTTATAGAAACACAGACAGTTTTTTAGTCTAGCATTGAAAAGTACAATTGTTTTTATGTTGAATTAATTTGAAGTTTATGTATCGTACCTCAAGTCCTGTAGTTTTACGATCCT